TATGCAAATATATATTACATAGAAAAAAATGTATGTTTTAATGCACGTTTTTTCAAATTTACTTATTTTATGTCATACTATGGATGTGAAATTTATTCATTTTTCACAAGTTTGTTTTCTGATTTTTTTCCTTTTTCTGTTACGATCTTAATGTTGTTACCTATACTATTGATAATGAATCCATAGCAAATTATATTTTAATTATGACAATATGCATATATCATACTGTTTATACATTATTGATGGTTGAAACGTTGAACAAATGTATACTTTTTATTATTATTACTTAAAATAATAAAAAAACATTTGAAGAAAAAAAAAAGGTTTAGTGAGTCTTATTTAGTGAGTCACCTCCAGGTAGGCGTAGAGCTCACTGCAGATTTTACTAAGCCTTCCAGTAAATTAAATATTATGGCCTTCGTTATGTTGAAGAAAGGTTAAGAAAGGTTAAAAAAAAAGAGAGAGATAGAGAAAAAAAATAAAAATATTTATTCAGACATTTTTTCTGTATGATGTGGAATGCTTAAACAAAACAATCCTGTTGCTCGGTTGCATTTTTAGCATGCCCGGAACATAACTTTTAGAAGTTGTTACAAGTTTGGTTTAATTGTAGATCGAGAGAGGCATTTATTTTCAGATAGTGCATGCTTGTAGAAAATGTAATGCTGTTTTCTAGGTTGTTCGACAATTGAAACTCCATATAAGATGGATGCACAACTCTCTTATTTGTTGTTACAAGAAAGAGATAATAAGCTGCAGGAAAGAAACTTTGGAAAATTGTAAATGACCCATCTGAATAATGCAATAGACATTTGGGAAATTCAGAAGAAAGACCTAACACCTGTCTTGTGTGTATACATTTATGTTATTTTAGATTTTTTTAAATTCTGTATTTGATTTTATAGTTTTATTTTATGGGTTTTTTCTTTTAGCTTAAGAATAGAACTTATCAGTGCGATTACAGCATACAGAGACTTCTAATACAATTCTTTATACTTTTTATGGATAGTTTTATTAGCATATTTTATATTACATTAAGAGGGAAAAGACTAAAACAACTATAAGATGTAGGTATAGAAGCAGCCATATTAAAGCTCTCATTTTTCTAAAAAAGAGGAGGGTCTGCCACTCTTACAGGGAAAGGAAAGGGGCAAGTTGGGGGGACAAAGAGGGACATATGGAATGCACAAGCAGATCTGGAGGAAGGTTGATGGTTAGCAATGGAATAACTGGGTGGTTCTATAGAGCAAAGTGTGTTGATATAGGACCACATTCGTTGGTTAGGAATACTCAGCTGAGGCCAGTGATAGTGGTCCTGCTTTGATGTAAGCAGCTTGTCCTGCTAGATAAGACTGGATGCACACAGTGGGATACAGGTTGTCAAACTAAACTAAAATGCTTCTAAATCTTACCATGGGATGATGCCAGGGGACCCAACACCATAATCACTTCAGAGTGTGTGTGTCGGTCAGTCAGTGTGTATGTGTCGTTCAGTCATCAGTGCGTGCGTCTGTCAGTCAGTGCGTGCGTTTGTCAGTGAGAGTGTGCGTCTGTCAGTGAGTCTGTCAGTGAGTATGCATCTGAGTAAGTTTATGTCATCAGTGCGTGCGTCTGTCAGTCAGTGCGTGCGTTTGTCAGTGAGAGTGTGCGTCTGTCAGTGAGTCTGTCAGTGAGTGTGCGTCTGAGTAAGTGAATGTCTGTCTATCAGTGTGTCTAATCAGTGAGTGTGTGTGTATGTCATTGTTTGTCAGTGTATATGAGAGTGTGTGTCTGTCAATGAGTGTATTCGTCTGTCAGTGAGTGTGCGTCTTTCAGTGAGTGAGCGTCTGTCAATCAAAGTGCGGCCTTGACTGGAAAAGGTGGGGAAAATTAAAATTAGGGGGTGCCCGAGCACCGTCCTGCTTAAGGCAGCACAAAACCTAAATACACCACTGCACAAGGGCAATCATTAAGTTAATAGCTTCTAAAATGGGTTTCTTTTGAGAGGTGCATAGGCGTATGCTTTGCATGTTCATGTTTTGTTAAAAAAAAAAAATGTAGGTTAAATACTTTGTTATTATTATTATTATTATTATTATTATTATTTGCAAGAGTGGCTTTTTACGAGTTTACTTTAAAACTAGCACAGAATTAAGTGAATTTTATTTATTTATTGTTTTAATTCAGACATACGCTATGGATGTTAAATGAAATTGTTAGGAAAAACAATTGGAATCGGAGTAAAATGCTTCAACACATATGGCCAATCTGCCCCCTAGTGCTGCAGAAGTGCCTCTAGTAGCTGTTACTGTATCCAAGTCACTTAATTGAGATGAACTGGACTGGGTGACTTTAGTGATTCTTTAAAGTTAAAAGTACATAATTTACCTTTTTAACCATTCTAAACAGTTGTTTTGTCCTTTGTTCTTCTTGCTCTGCATCTGGTGTTTCAATAAATGTTATGCAAAAAAAAACTATTTCCTTTTTCAGAATGACTGTGTCTCTATTTATGCAAAGCCAGGACCATGAAGACATGATTTGATTAAATTAATATTAAAGAACTTGAGTGGGCGGCACAGACCCCTGACCTCAACCCCACGGTACACATTTGTTATGAATTGGAACCTTCATTGCACGTCAGACCTTGTTGTCCTGCATCAGAACCTGACCACACAAATGCTCTTTTTTCTGAACGGCACACATTCTTACAGCAAAAATCCTGTGGATAGACTTCCAAGAAGAGTGGTGGCTCTTGTCAGATGTCAGAAATTGTCAGATTGCCAAAAAGCTGAGGTATGTGCAAATTACTGTGTGTTGTGTATCATGAGTGTGGTTCATATGTTTTGACTGTGTATGAGTTGGCTGCATGTATGATGTATGTGGCAGTCCATGTGTGATGTCGAAAGCTGTAAGTGATTTGTGTGGTCGTGCATAATGTATGGGAGTGAATTATATTCGGGCAGCTGTGTGTGATATGTGTTTGTACTTTCATTGATATCTGTGGCAGTGTTTGGGTAGCTATGAGTTCTGTGTGTTTTGATCTGTAGTTAACTAAGTGGTGTGTGTTGCTGTGTGGGGTGAACTTATTATATTCCATGTTGCTGATGCAAATTAGAATTGGCCATGGGGGTCTATGATCTTTATTTACTGGATTACATGGTCCTGCTTCCTGCTGCACACATACTCACAGGCACACACTAACATACACTCATTAACACACACTGGTACAGACACAAAAAAACAGTATCCACACAAACTCACTACACTCCCAAGCTGATCCTTACCAGATGCTGCCCGGAGGCCTTCCTTGTGCCTCACACACTTCCCACCCAGTACAAGACCTAAAGGATGCAGCGGGTCTACTGGAGACCCTTGGCCTTCCACAAGACTCAATGCAGCGGCCTGGATTAATTCAAGCATTTAAACCAGCCCACATATGGGACACTACGTACATTACTCCACTTCAGACTAGACTGGCCTCCTCTGATGCCTACACAGCAGTCACTACCTGAAACTCTACAGGGCCTTCATAATTAGACATGTGTGCCATGTTACAAATGTAGATAGTTTGTGCTAGTTTGTGTTAGTTGCTTTTTTTTTTACGTATTTTACTTTTGTTTTCTACATCATTTTATTTTCTTCATATACTGTCATGTACCTTACTTTCAGACGAGTTGGTCTAATGTCCGAAATTCCCCTTCCCATGACCCACCACAAGAATGATAAGCATGAAATAAGCTGCAAGGTGTAGATTAACGTTCTTAGCTCCCAGCCTCCTAACAATGATTGCATTCTAAGTTTGACAAGAGCCGCAGGTCTGTGGATAGGCCTCTCTATTCTAAGATTCTCAGATTCTACTCACCACTTTACTTTGAGCCTTAGACACATTGATTAGTCATTGTCCTTTTGATATTATATTACTTTATGCTATTTTACAAGCAATGGTGTGCCAATACTAAACTCTCAACAGTATTCCTACCATCTGCAATTGGCATTCTAATATTGGCCATAGCAAAGCGTTTTCATTTATATTAAAAATCCTCAAGTCACTGGAAATGTGTTTAATGTATAATGTGTTTTATTATTGGATTATGACTATCGTTGTATGACTTAATTCCTCATATGTGTACTGTATGCACCAGTGTGTTGAGCAAAAAAATAGAATTTAAAAAAATAAATTCTAGAAATAAAGAAGAGAAAACAATGTAAACTGATTGTAGTCATACTTTGTGCAAATCAATTCCAGCAATCACTCAGCAGAAGTCTCCTCCGAGGGAAGCATTAGTCTTTTCTGTAGAGCTATTTACATTCTTCATCAGGAGAAGACTATATGATACAGGGCTGTGGCAGTACTAATGTAAGTTGTCAAATTATACTGAAATGGTTTTATTACTTACCATGGGATGGCACCAGGGTATTCTGGGCAATTTTGTTATACCATAATGCAGTCTGACATTAACACTATTCTGCAGAGAAGAGTAATGTTATATAATGTAATGTTAAGTATGTAATGTTAAAGTAACACTTCAGCTCCCCAAGGCACTTTAGTGCTTTAAGATTTGTTCCCGTTGTCTTATTTTATACAAGTGACAATTTAAAGAGAAATCAACACTTTTAAAAATAATTTTCACGTTGAAACTTCAACATGGTAGTGAGAGCTTCTACGAAAAAAAGGATTCTGCTACTAGTGTTAAAATAAATCAATTTTTTAAACATTGGAATGTTCCTTTAAATTGGGCATTGTTTTATAATCACACTTAGTATCCACACTATCACTGCAGCAATGCTGTGTCAATGTTTTTTGCCTTTGTTACTTCCAGCAGATAATTGAGGCAAGCTGTAAAGCTGAGTAAGAAAGCAAAGCAGAATTTATATTTGGCAGAATTATGTCATCTCCAGCTTGCGAAATCTCTAGTACATGCTTGCTACATCACCATAATCATGGCTGCCTGCCAAAAAAAGGTAGTGAGTTTCCATTCAACCCACAGGCTTTCCCTACTACAGCCATACGTAAAGCAAAACAAAGAAGGATACGTTAGGATAGAGAATGTAACCTTCCTATTCCTTGACCCACCCCTTTTTTTAAGTATAAGAAACTGAGGCAAACTTGGATCTTTCATACACACTTAAGATATCTTCAATATCACAAATCCTTTTTGTACAGCATCCAGAGTAATGTCCATAACCTCAGTAGCGAACAAGTTTGAATGTCAGCCATTGGACAGCATGGCCTTTGTTCGAGAGCCTGTTAATACCCAAATAAAGTGGAAGAACTCCTTAGTCTACATAATTGGTGCTGTGATGGTTGGATTGTGTTTGGCGACAATGTTTTTTTTCTGTTTCCATTTCAACCGCAGGGTAAGTAAGACATTTTTTATTTCTTTTTTATTTGTAAATTTTATAAAGTTGAAAAATATGCAAACTTCTGTATCTGTTTTTATTGTTTATCTTAAATAATAATAAAAAAGATCAACTCAGTGCTGTACTGTGGGGTAGAGATACACGTGTTGCATATTAAATAACTCTTAGAAATTAACAATTGCTGCACCTATAGTGCTAAAATCTGGTATTTTATAAATGTTTATAATCATGATGACAATAACTATAAGTGCCAAAAACGTAAAATATAATCCTACTGCTCATTTAGTAAAAGTAAATGTTATTTTTTTTTATTAATGCTGCAAGCTGGTAAAAATGCAGCTTGTCAGAGTGCAATGAAAACAGCAGCACAGCCTTCAGCCAATCAGCAGAGAGCAGCCTTTCACTGTGCGAACTTCATTCATTACAGGGAAATAAAATGCAATATATATATATATATATATATATATATATATATATATATATATATATATATATATATTTATTAGTAATAACATGGGCTGCTCTCACAGATTCTTTATTTCATCATGGTGAAAAATAGATCAACGTTTCGGTCCGCACAGGGACTTTCTTCAGGATCAAATGACATGTGCAGCCCATGTTATTACTATTTTTTGAATATCAATATCCCCAAGGACTGGCACCCGGCAAGTAAATAACTAATATGTTTGCAATTTGAAGCTTGAGTGCAAGGATTAATCAAATTTATATATATATATATATATATATATATATATATATATATATATATATATAGTTTTGTACTTAAATCATTTAAAATGTGTATTTTCAATCAGAATTTTATAATTTCTGATTCTGATTCTAATTCTGATTCTGAGGACAAAGTTCCCGAGGCCCTCATCTTTCCAAATTCCATCAGTAAACAGAAATAGCAACAGACTGAGAATCTTTTTCTTCTTATCTCCTGTTCATGTCGGAGAAAGTAAACAATCTTCAATTGATATAAACAGAGTTTCTCACTGTTTCAATATCAATTAGATATCATAGCTGAGTGAGGCTTAAATATTTGCATTCCAAGCATATCTCTTGTTATTAAACTGGAAAAGAGACACATTCCCTCATCTGTAATCTTTGAAACTAAAAAATGAAAAATAATTTATAGACACAAGTAGCTGCACATATTTCATATTGCACTTAAATTAGAGGTAAACATTAAATTCTGGAGGAGAGCCAGCTGTAAACAAGAAGATTAGTGCTATCTGTAAAGCTACTGTCTCATCACAACAAAAACGTCACAATAAAAGGCTAGCATTACCTGCCAGATGAAGGTTTAAACTGCACCATACAAGCATTTGTCTTGGTCTTTGGATTGGGGATTATACACCAACCCAGATCTACAGCCTATTATAAATATATTTACATACCAATGTCGGTAAGCTGCAAAAAGACATTTATCAAGTTTAACTTCTAACCGACCGCGGACGTATCAGGTACGTCCGACAAAAAACGATCCTTAAGGACCGCGGATATATCAGGTACTAGAGCGCTGGAAGTGATCATGATCGCTTCCAGGTGCTCTGATGGTATTGAAGCTATGCCTCGATGTCGAGGCATCCTGCAATATCCCCCCCCCCCCCACTGCCGGGCCACTGGGTGATTGCTCCCCTGGAGCAATCACTTCTGGGTTACCCCACGTGGTGCCCAGCAGTAAAGCAGAGTATCGGAAGCCATCAGGCAGGCTTCCGATGCTCTGCCTGTGCTGAGTTCCTCGAGTGGTTGAGGCAATCAGTGAAGAAAAATAAAAATTAAATTTAAAAAAATATATTAAACCCCTCCCCATACCCTCCCTCTCCCATTCCCAAGTACTTACCCGATAGCCACCATTCCCCAGCCGACGATCAGTGTTCGTCTTCACTGGGAGTACTGTCTGACAGCCTAGACAGTCCCTCTTTGGCAAAATAGGACCCCAAGGACCATGTGATCACTCTGAAAAAGCAGTCACATAGCCGCAATAGTCGTCCATAGTGTTGCCTGCAGGCGGACTGCTGAACTGACAGTTTAAAAAAAGTTTTAAAATAAAAAAAAGTTTAATAAATGTAAATATATATATATATATATATATATCTTAAAACGTCATACTAAGTGTATTTTTTTATTAATATATACATATATTAATATAAAAATACACTTAGAGTAACATTACACATGTGTGTATATATATATATATATATATACATATATATAATATATAATAACTATATATTGTATATATATTATAAAAAATAAATAATAATTAATTTAAAATACATTTTAAAAAATTTAAAAATAACAATTTTAAAAAATTATATATATATATATATATATATATATATATATAGATGTAATTTTATTCTAACTGTATTTTGATATATATATATATATATTTATATCAAAATAAACTTAGAATAAAATTATATTTATATCTATGTATATATAAATAAATAAAAATAATATGAAATATACATTTGTCCATATACATAATTGCATAAATAATTTCATAAATGTACATATAGACTTCAAATATATAAATGTGTATATATTTAAATTCTACGTTCTCTGGCAGTAACCCTTCAAGTTCTCAGTACATGTATTCTTAAAATGCTATGTGTGTTAAAAAATCACCATTTTTTTTTTTAATTTGGCATAGATTGGTGGTAAAATGGTTACATGAAAAGAGTCAAAATACCCCACGTTTAATACCTTAGATTTTCTTCTTTTAAAAAATATATACATGTGAAGGGTTATTCAGGGATTCCTGACAGATATCACTGTTACAATGTAACTTACGTTAATTTAAAAAAAAAAAATGGTTTGGAAATAGCAAAGTGCTACTTGTACTTATAGCCCTATAACTTTCCAAAAAAGCAAAGAACATGTTAACATTGGGTATTTCTAAACTCAGGACAAAATTTAGAAACTATTAAGCATGGGTGTTTTTTGGCAGTTATAGATGTGTAACAGATTTTGTTGGTCAAAGTTCAAAAAAGTGTGTTTTTTAAAACAATTTCATCATATTTTAAATTTTTTTTATAGTAAATTATATGATATGATGAAAATAATGGTATCTTTAAAAAATATCGTTTAATGGTGAGAAAAACGGTATATAATATGTGTGGGTTCAGTAAATGAGTAAGAGGAAAATTACAGCTAAACACAAACACCACAGAAATGTAAAAACAGCCCTGGCCCTTAATGGTAAGAAAATTGAAAAGCAGTCTGGTCACTAAGGGGTTAAACTTCCTCACATCTGTTTTGCAAACAAAAAAACAGGTTGAAGCACCTTGGAATTTTGATACTAGAAAAATAAAATTATTCCGAAAACCTAGAATGGCAGTCAGATCACTCCTTGGATCAAAAAGTTGTTTCCTACATATTAAATATAATTGCCCTGAATATCATGTTTTTTCAAGAATTCACCCAGTTCCTGTTTAAAAATGAACACCCTTTACCAGCTACGTCCCACTTTTGTCCTATTCCAAATATGAGACACCAGAGACTTATTAGGTTCCCTTGCACTGCATAAAAGGAACCCAATTTTTTTCCCCATCTAAGAGCCCCTTAACATGGTTCTGCACACGGGATGCCCTGGCTGAGCATCTAACTAACATACTCATGTTTGGGTGAGAATGTTTGTCATTGGTAATGACACAATACACCCTCTCTGTGTTTCCAACCCTCATATTGGGCATCTGTACCTTTAAAAAGCCAGACCAAATTTCTGTCTTAGTCCAGCCCTATCTTCACATAAGAAATCTGGGATAACAACCACCTCAAACACGAGGATCAGTATATGAAGCAAAGCTTACTATGAGCTATGCTATCTCTCCACTTCAAAATCTGCACACAAGACAGCAGTGTTGCTAATGGGTTACAGTGAATAATAGTAACAAGCATACAGATGTGTTTGATTTGTACCATCCCTAACCTCACCAAACACTTTCACACGACACAAAAGGGATTCTAGGGTTCACTAGTCCAAGATGAGCAGCTGAAACTCATATTCACAAAAAAACGTGAGAAACACATTCACATTGCATCTCCTTTTAGTTAGTGGATGTAGCAAAATATAGTCACTTCTTTGTACAAACTATGCTAGTAAAAACTGCAAAAAAAGGGCTTTCTTTTTAATGTTCTCGTATTTAAAGATATCTCCTGCTAAGTTGTATTAATTACTTGGCTATTTTAGGCTGAATTACTGAATTTATATTTCAATTTGATATATACACTGTGACATTGAATTATTTAATCAAAAAGCAAAAATGTACAAATCAATCTAGCATAAAAGTATACAATTAAACTTTTCAAGACATTTCCAAAGATTTTTATTTTTTTTATTTTTTTATCATGAGGTTATAAAAACATTCTCTGTTTCTGTAGGGAGCATATTCAGCTCAGCAGGAGAAATGCTTTCTAGATATTGAATACATTTAAACAGCTTGAAAACATGGTTTAATAAAAAACATAGAGGAAATATGTTCAGTAAGGAGTGACTTGATGGCAGATTTACATATGTGACGCCTTTATACTCCCAATATTTTAGCAATTGTAAAATTGAATTAAATCATTTGTAATAATTTATTGGTAATAATTCAGGTATGATAAAATATCAGGAGTATAAAGTTTTAGATCCATTTTTATCTAGTAAGTGTCCTTAGTGCAATATAATTTATATTGCGCTATAATGCTAACACAATGGAGACTTTAAGGTTTAGTAATGTAATTATAATGATTTTGATTTAGAACTTTACTTATTTCTTTTTTTGTATCATTTATAGCCATATAGTGTATCTCTTTAAGGGGACACTTTAGTCACCAGAACAACTACAGCTTATTGCATTTGTTCTGGTGAGTAGAATCATTACCTTCAGGCTTTTTGCTGTAAACACTGTCTTTTCAGAGAAAATGCAGTGTTTGCATTGCAGCCTAGTGATAACCCCACTGGCCACTCCTTAGATGGCTACTAGAGGTGCTTCATTGGGCAGTGCTGCAGAGTAAGCAGCACTGACATTCAATGTCTCCACCCTCTGCATGCAGGCACTGAACTTTCCTCATAGAGATGCATTAATTCTATTCATTTCTATGAGGAAATGCTGATTGGCCAGGGCTGGGTTTGACTTATACTGGCTCTGCCCCTGATCTGCTTCCTTGACAGTCTCAGCCAATCCAATGGGAAGCCATGTGATTGGCTCAGACCACCACTTCTGCTGGGTAGGTCAGAGGCAAATAGGGGCAGAGCCAACAGCTACATGAATACAAGTAAGATTTTACTATATTTAGGGAGGCAAGAGGCGGTCAGGGGGGCTAGATGGTGGCTTTAACACTGCAGGGTCAGAACTACATGTTTGTGTTCCTGACCCTATAGTGCTCCTTTAAGTTCCCAAATGACTACAACTCAGAGTCTCCAGTTAGGCACATTTTCTTCATGGAATATAATACTTCCAAGATATTGTACACTATTTATTCACTTTTGGATGATCCTTTTTTTTTTTGCTTTTTTGTTTTTTGTATAAGCTATTGCCATTATTACAGGAGTGTATATTCCCCTACTCCATCTCTCTCTCTTTTTCCTTTTTTTTTTTTTTTTTAGATGGACATGTGAGGGTTAACCCCTGTGGGCTTTTTTGTTTGACTTGATTGAACACATGTGCTTGCACTTTTTTGATTTGTTTTATCTTGATGTGTACACCTATAAAGGATTTTACATGTTGCCCTTTATTCATGGCTTAATACAGACATAGCTACTGTCAAAACATTGTCAACTTTCATGGATAGCAGAATAAATCAGCATTACATAATGGAACGCTGTGTGCTGTAGTATTAATCCTTTTTTTATAGTTTAATAGTCTGTGGAATAAGAATCTGGACTTTTGCCACAGGCACCATGTATATTTTCAATTGTGCCCCTGGAATTATTGAATTTCAAATAGTTTTTCATTGTCAGACCACTGTTTGAATGCTATCAGAAAACATAATGCAGAGCCCCAGTCAGTCTGCTTCTGTCTGCCAATCACATTTTGTTTTCATTATGTTTACTCAACATTTGAAATTGTGGAAAATTGGCAAGGAAAATAGAAAACATAAATAAAAATAGACTCTTTGGAAAATTCCTCAAGTCAGCTATTTCTCTAAAATGTTCTAAATCCATTGTTAGTTCTCTATAATTCCCAAATTTAGTAAAATTCATATATGCAAAGCTGTTGGTTTTATAGAATTAGACACTAAGAACAATTATTTATAATACTACATTTAACTGAAAGAGACTTTAATAAAAAGTATGCAAGATCATGAGTCTCTTTTTTTATGACCTTACAGGCTAAAGATGAGTGCTATGCCCATGCAGAGATTGGTGAGTAACTTACCCATTTGACATTTTTTTTGTTTTTTGGTCTTATTGAAAATATAAAATAAAATTGACAGTATTTTGCAGTGCTTTAATTATCTCAACAACATTTTCAAGAACCCACATAATATTGCTTTTGAATGATTGCTTAAACAGTGTTATGTATTTTATAAATATGTATAATTTTTACATGTATAATAAAGGCATGTACCCTTTTCATTTATGCTCACTAACTAAATTGTGTAATAATCACTTTGCATTATGTTGTATAATCAGAAGGTTGAAAATATATGTATTTACTAACCAGTAATTTCTCAATACCTCACAAGCTAATTGCAAAATTTAAGGAAGAGTTGCCATGGACTGACCATAAGGTCAAGAAGACAAGCACCTGGTGGGTTTAGTTTCACGTTTATTGTTTGGCATGCAGTTCTGCTGGTCCAACATTAATTGTATGTGGCAGGGCCGTATTGGGAGAAAAATTCGGCATGGGCATGTTGGTGCAATTCTCTTCCAGGGAAGCCTATGCGCAGAGCCATGCTGAAGAGCTCTTGAATGAGAAAAGGGCTCTGTGTTTGTTCTGCACAGTGCAAGCAAATGTATTAACATGCTTGCGCTGTGTTTGCTTGTGACTTGTCTCTGGTGTCTCCTTAAGTGGAATACCAGAGGACAAAGGGGCCAGGAATGCATATTGTGTGCATGTGCTTGGAGCCTGCTTGTGGGATTGTGTTTGTAGAGTGAGCTGATAGTAGTGTGGTGCTTTGTCTAAATAGGTTGGCTTCAGTTTTGTTGTGTTTGTGGTGTAATATATGTGCTAGTGGCTCTAGAGAATGAGAGTGTGTGTATGTAAAGAGGGCATAGTGTGTATAGGGGATATAATGTATGTGTGTCTAGGTGATATAGTATGTGTAGGCATTGTAAAGTGTGTGTGTGTGTGTGTGTTTATGTAATGTAGTAAGGGTAATATGTGTTTGCATAGGGGATCCAGAGTGTGAATGTCAGAAATGTAGTGTATGTGTAGATTGTGCAGTGTGTGCTTCTAGGGGATCTATTGTATGTGTAGGGGATCTAGTGTGTGTGTGTGGAGGATCCAGAGTGTGTATGGGAGATTTAGTGTGTGTGTGTGTATAGAGGATGTAGAGTGTTTATAGAGATTCTAGTGTGTGTATGTGTAGAGGATCCAGAGTTTAGGTGTAGATGATCTAGTGTGTGTGTCTGGAATGTAATGTGTGTAGAGGCAGGGTCGGCGCCACCGTTAGGTGAACTAGGCATTCACCTAGGGTGCCGGCTTGCTGGGAGCGCCCACCTGGATTTTTTCTGGTAGGCTGCCCCTGTCTTGGGCTGCAGCACAAGACAGGGCCCCCCCCTCACGGCGCTCCTCCAGGGGCTCGAAGCTTGGGGCGCCCAAAGGAGCCCTGTCACAGTATGGCACAGCACCTTCTTACCTTAATGACAGGTGCCTATTCTGCCATAAAATGCCGGTGACCAGAGGAGAGGGGGACGGAGCAGGCAGGCGGCAAGGGAGGCTCTTCTTGCAGCCTCTCACTCCTCCCTCGCATGCCCTCTGTGATGCCGGGAGCCATAATATGACATCATTCCGGCCCCGGCATACTAAACAGCGGGCAGGAGGAATCAGGAGCTGCCCCACACTGGACCCCAGGGAGATGGGTGTTTGAGTGTTTGTCAGTGAGTAAGTGTCTGCCTGTGTGTGCGTCTGTGTCTGTCAGTGAGTGTATGTATTTCAGTGAGTGTATGCATGTCAGTGAGTCTGTCAGTGACTGTGTATGTGTGTGTTTGTGTGTGTGTCAGTGAATGAATGTCTGTCAGTGTGTGTCTGTGTGTGTGTGTCTGTGTCAGTGAGTGTCAGTGAGTGAGCACATGTCTGTCAGTGAGTGTGTGTGTGTGTGTGTGTGTGTGTGTGAATATCTGTCAGTGAATGTGTGTGGGAGTGTGTGTCTGTCTGCCAGTGAGTGTGTGTCTGTCAATGAGTTTCTGTGTATGTGTGTCAGCGTGTGTGTGTCTGTCAGTGAGTGTCTGTCAGTGAGTGACATGAAGGGATGGCAAGATGGATCTTTGCCTAGGGCAGCAGAAATCCTTGCACTGACCCTGTGTAAGGGTGCAGTGTGTGTGTGTGTGGGGTGCAGTATGTGTGAGGGATCCAGTGTGTGTGATGGGTGCAGTGTGTGTTTGTGAGAGGTGTACAGAGTGTGTGTTAGGAGTGCAGTGTGTGTGACGGGTTCAGTGTGTGTGAGGTATTCATTGTGCATTTGTGTGAGGGGTGCAGTGGGTGTTGGGGTGGTTAGTGTGTGTGTGAGGGGTCCAGTGTGTGTGAGAGAGGTCAGTGTGAGTGTGTGAGGGGTGCAGTGTGTGCGGAGGAACAGTGTGTGTGCTTGGGGGGGTGCAGTTTGTATGTGGGGGGAGGTGTAGTGTGTGTGAGGGGAGTGCAGTGTGTGTGTGTAATGTGTGTGTGTGTGTGTGTGAATGTGTTGGGAGTTACAATGTGGGACAGATTAAAGATTTTGGATTTGTGCTGCCCGAGGCATGACTTAATTCAGACACCCCCCTAATCTAAATTTGCCCCACCAACTTGTGTCAATGCCACTTTTTTGACTGAAAGACACACACCCTCATTGATACATGCACTGACATAAACTCACTGACTGATACACAGTCATTGGCGCACACACACAGTCATTGGCACACACATTGTTTAGCCAACACACACTTTCACTGACAGACACACCTTGACACACCCACTCACTGACAGACACACAGTCACAGAAACAAATACACTGACACACACTCACAGACACACACATCCTAACTGATTTGACTGACTCTGACAGGCACACACACATTCACTCACTCACTCACTCACTCACACACACTGACAGCTAAACACACACTGACAGCTACAAGCACTCACCCACAGACCTATACAAACACACATTCACATTCACTGACAGAAACACACACTGACAGACACTGACTTCTGCTGGGCTGGCTGGGCAGGCTCCTTGCTGGCTTTGCTGGGGCTGCTGCGGTTGCTGGTACTGCTGCCTGGGCTAACTCTGCTGGATGTGCGGGTGCTTTATGGAGGCAGCAAGGGAACTGAGCTATGCTTGCTTAGCTCCCTCGCACGCTGCTTAGTGATGCCAGGAGCAGTGACATCATACTTCTGCTCCCAGGATCACAAAAGGGCGTGCAAGGAAGCAGGAAGTGGTGAGGACAGCACTCCCTCGTCGCCAGTTTAACACCTCGGGGGGTCCTAAGGTGGCCAGCCGGCCAGCTCTTGGTCCCCCCAGGACATGAGGCTAACAAGGCATTTGCCGCCACCCACCTTAAAGTGCCGCCCTAGGCAAATGCGTTGTTTGCCTTGTGGTAAATACAGCCCTGATTGTAGATTGGATTAGCCGTATTAGAGAAACTGGCCTTAAACTGCATCTCAGAATGAGTCTACACAGACACTCAATCAAGAACCACAAGAAAAATGGATATTGTACCTCTGTTGGTCATCACTTCACCCAGACTGGTCACTCCATGCAAAACCTCAGGATTAAAGTTCTTAAAGGGAATTTCAAAGGCTCTCATGAATGAAAGACATTTGAGATGAACATGATCACACATTTCAACACCAGAAATGAAGGACTTAATCTAGATTCTGGCTTTCTCACACACTACTAAACACTTTCTATAAACAAACATCTTAATGTCTTATATAGTTCTTTTTCAATATTCGCGCTTCACCTTTACTGAATCAATTTATATACATACATATATGCAGCTATTTACTAGCATGCCCTGCTCTGCTGTTTTCTTGTTGTTTTTTTTTCTTTCTGTTTTCTTTTCAACTAGCTTATTAACTCTCCTCTGTTAACCCCTTAAGGACCGAGGACGGTTCAGGACCGTCATCGGCATTTTTGCCTTGCCGACCGATGACGGTCCTGAACCGTCCAAACGGTCTGGGGCTACTTACCTGATCGCCGTCGTTCCCCCGGCGGCGATCAGTGTTCCTCCGGTTGTGGGGAGACTGTCTGCAGCCCAGACAGTCTCCCCACGGCAGATTAGGACCCCTGTGGCCATGTGATCGCTTAACACAGCGATCACATGGTCACAATAGGTGTCCATGTGTCTGCCTGCAGGGGGACTGTCTGTGCTGACAGGCAGTCTCCCTGCTAGTGTAAAATCAAAAAATAAATTAAAGTTAATGGTAATAAAAAAAATAATAATAATTATATATGTATAAATATGATATATAGACATATATTATATCTATATAATATATGTCTATATATCATATATATAATACCATACTAAGTGTATTTTTATATTAATATGTACTTATATTAAAATAAAAATACACTTATAATTAAATTACACACGTATATATATAATATATATAATAACTATATATATTGTATATATATATTATTATAAAATATAAATAATAAGTAATTTAAATTAAATAATTTTTTTAAATAATAATAAAAAATGTAAAAAAATTATATAGCTATATGAAATTTTATTCTAACTGTATTTTAAAATTAATATATATATATTTATATCAAAATACACTTAGAATGAATTTGTATATATATCTATGTATATAAAAATAAATAAAAATAATAAGAAATATACATACGTCCATATACAAAATTACATAAATAATTATATAAATATACACGTAGACTTCAAATATATAAATATGCATATATATTTAAATTCTACGTGCGTATTTATGTAATATTTTTACATAATTCAGTAATTTTATTGATTGCAATTTGAGGGACCTGCCTGCCAACCCAGGCCGAAATTCCAGAGAATTTAATTTGCTAGCACTGTATTTTACCCTGTAACGTTCTACGACACCCTAAAACCTGTACATGGGGGGTACTGTTTTACTCGGGAGACTTCGCTGAACACAAATATTAGTGATTCACAACAGTAAAACATATCACAGCGATGATATTGTCAGTGAAAGTTACTTTTTTTGCATTTTTCACACACAAACAGCACTTTTACTGATGATATAATTGTTGTGATACGTTTTCCAGTTTTTAAACACTAATATTTGTGTTCAGCGATGTCTCCCGAGTAAAACAGTACCCCCCATGTACAGGTTTTATAGCATTTTTGAAAGTTACAAGGTCAAATATATGGGTCAAATATTTTTACATTGAAAATGGCCAGGTTGGTTACGTTGCCTTTGAGAGCGTATGGTAGCCCAGGAATGAGAATTACCCCCATGATGGCATACCATTTGCAAAAGAAGACAACCCAAGGTATTGCAAATGGGGTATGTCCAGTCTTTTTTAGTAACCACTTGGTCACAAACACTGGCCAAAATTAGCGTTCAATTTAGTTTTTTTACTTTTTTCACACACAAACAAATATGAATGCTTACTTTGGCCAGTGTTTTCGACTAAGTGGCTACTAAAAAAGACTGGACATACCCCATATTGAATACCCTGGGTTGTCTACTTTAAAAAAAATATGTACATGTGGGGTGTTATTCAGAGATTTATGACAGATAATAGTGTTACAATGTCACTATTGATAAATTTTAAAAATGTATGTTTTGAAACCGCAATATCCTACTTGTACCTATAGCCCTATAACATGCAAAAAAAAGCAAAAAAGCACGTAAACACTAGGTATTTTTAAACTCAGGACAAAATTTTGAATCTATTTAGCAGTTTTTTTCATTCGCTTTTGTAGATGAGTAAAAGATTTTTCAAGTAAAAGTCAAAAAACATGTATTTTTTTCAATTTTTCATCAGATTTTTGTATTTTTTTTAAATTAAAATACATGAGATTATATAAATAATGGTATGTAAAGAAAGCCCATTTTGTCCTGAAAAAAAACAATATATAATTTGTATGGGAACAGTAAATGAGAAAGCGGAAAATTACAGCCAAACACAAACACCACAAAAGTGTAAAAATATTCCTGGTCGCAAATGTACAACATCGCAAAAACAGTCCAGTCCTTAAGGGGTTAATTTACTTTTTCTTGATATTCTCAGCCAACCTACACCTTTCACTTTCAGGCACATCTTCTGCTGTTTATGACACCCCCACCCCTTCTCTAACATCAGTTGTTTTAAAGGGACACTATAGTCCCCAGAACAACTACAGCTTATTGAATTTGTTCTGGTGAGTAGAATCATTCATATCATTCATTCACCTTCAGACTTTTTGCTGTAAACACTGTATTTCAGAGGAAATGCAGTGTTTACATTACAGCCTAGTGATAACTTCACTGGCCACTCCTCAGATCTATATTAGAGATCCTTCCTGGGTCATGGCTGCCTAAAATGCATCCAAACATTCAGTGTCTCCTCCCTCTGCATGCAGACACTGAACTTTCCTCATAGAGATTCATTGATTCAATTCATCTCTATGAGGAGATGCTGATTGGCCAGGGCTGTGTTTGAATCATGCTGGCTCTGCCCCTGATCTGCCTCCTTGTCAGTCTCAACCAATCCTATGGGGAAGCATTGTGATTGGATCAGGCTACCACTTCTGATGATGTCAGCAGACTGCTTGTTTTTTTTTTTTTGAGGCAAACAGCATGCAGATCAACAGCTCCTGGCTTGAATACAGTAAGATTTTGCTATATTTATGGAGGCATGAGGGGCCATGGGGGGCTAGATGGTGGTTTTAACACTATAGGGTCAGGAATACATATTTGTGTTCCTGACCTTATAGTGATCCTTTAAGTGTTAAACTCTAACAGATTGATCAGTATTGCTTCAGACTTGAAGAAGAGAGGAAAACTCTTAAAAGCTTGTCTTTGAAATTTTATGTTAGTCCAATAAAAACGGTAGCATTGCATACTGCAATACTCTGGTATTTTGGCATTATATATATTAATATATATATATATATATATATACAACCAATAGGTAATCCTTGCACACTCGCTTAATATAGTATTCACCGGCTCTTTGTAATCCAGAGAAAAATATATAGATTTGAAATAGTGATCAGCACTCACTGTCTTGTAGTAATTTAAAAAGTTCAAGCTTTATTATGAATCCATTAAAAGTTCGATCATAAGATCAACGTTTCAGTCCCCTCTGGGACTTTCATCAGGTCAGGCATAAATAAAACAATAAAGAGAAGACATTTATATAGACAGGAAAATCAAAGAATATTGACTTACCCCAGGTGATGGGAGTGATGTCTCTAGCATTTCCCTGTGCACAGTGCGCATGTGTGAATAGAGTCCAGCCCCCACGTGACGTGATTGCATCTCCCATTGCCGTAGAGATGGGGAACGTGTTTGGTTCCTAGGGAGACAAGTATAAACAAACACCATGTATAGAGGATCGTGATCGTGATCACGTGCAGCAAATGAGATTGATCTATATCAAGAAAGAGATCGATTCCTATGTCTGCAAGCTCTACCTAGTACATAATAAAGAATTAGATGCTTACATATCGCTAATTAATACATATGAATACATTGATAAGGAAATGATGGCTGTATATACATGATCATAACAAAGCAGTTGATACTAGCATTTCTGATTTACTATTGCTGTACATTATATTTTACAGTATATAGTGCATATTATAATGTATAAAGTGTACATAGTGCTGATTAAATTGCTGTTCATTAATAAAGTGCCTAAATACAGCAAGTAAAGTGAAACACATGCATATAAAATGCTTATTAGCTAATAAAGTGCACTATTTATAATAAAGTGCTGTATAACAATAAAGTGAAACTTGTGCCCTAAAGATTAGTGAAAAAAATATCATATTAAAGTGAAAAGTAGTGTGGAATTTTTTTTTTATATATTGTAATCAATAGTATCCTTCCTTATATGGCCATTTGTCCTAATCAATGATTCAAAATTAATCAATATATTAAAAGAAAAAGGTTTTTTAATAAAAAATTAAAAACATAATTTCTAGGGGTGTTTATTCTAGAGGAATGAATGATATGAAATTATTTCATTAAGTCCCTCGGAGCGATGGTATTAAACTGGAAAATCCCAAATGTCTCTCTGTTAAGCAAAGGTTTTCCACGATCACCACCTCGCAAAGGTTGATGGATGTGGTCAATTGCAATGAATTTAAGTGTTGAGAGTGGGTTTTCAAGTCTAAAAATGTTGAGCCACCGGTTGTTCGGAATGTCCTTCATGATATGCCACTCGTATACCTAATCTGTGGCCACGTATTCTCTCACATAAAGGGGTTTCTGTTTTTCCAATACATGATAGTCCATAAGGACACGTTAATTTGAATATTACAAAGGGGATCTTGCAAGTGATGGTATGTCGGATCCCGTAGACTTTATTTTTATGAGAATGTTAAAAAGTGCGTGATGGGGTCATGTGGCTACATGTAACACATCCCAGGCAGCGAACTCTACCACGGTTTTTGGTTTCTTTGAAGACCTTAGGCAGTTTTGTTTGATCACTTTGACAACCTTTGGAGAAACATCATTGTAGGTCATAGGAAACACCATTGCTGGGGCTTTTCTGGCCACCTTATTGGCGCTGGAAGTTTTTGCCTCTTGTAGCGCTTTTAATAGGTCTGGTGTCTGTAGCCTCGTGCAAGACATTTTTGTGTAATTTCTTCAATTTTTATTCCTCCATTATAATTTCATATATTGCGCTTTGGGTAGCAATTTTTTTAACGCCTTTGGATGTGCACTTCTGTTGTGTAACAAAGTGTTTCGATCTGTTTCCATTGTATAGGCAATGTGTAATTTTCTGATTTTTGATTGATATTTCTAAATCCAGATATTGTACTGATGTAGTGCTGATTTTTGATGTAAATCTGATAGGCGTCTCAAGATCTTGAGGGTTCAGACTGATAAGCTTTGCTAATTTCAGAGTCACTAATCTCCTTTCTTCTGTTTGCTGATTAACTTTCTCCCCCAAACTGCCAACATCCTCAGTTCAAACTGCTAACCTCTGCAGTCTTTGAGTTATGTGGCTGTAGCTGCTGATGGCAATGATAATATGTTAGGTTCAATGTTCAAATCTTGCTCAACCAGCATGCCCCTCTTTCTCTGAAAATCACAGATCACATACTATGTTAATAGGTCTAAATAGATGAACACAGGCAACACTCCAGGTTTAAGATGGGAAGTTAATTTATGGGTAAACCACCCCATAAAAAGTGTAAAGTGCAATGTCTCAGCTCAGCAGAGCCCTAATCATGCTTAATCTGCTGAGCCAAAATGTCGCTCTTTGCACTTTACCAACTTGCCATCTTAATCCTGTGTTCATCTATTTTGATAGTAAGTTAGTAGATTTAGTGGTGCCCGTCTGATCAACTCCTTGGTGGATGGCCAGAGCTCTTACGTGGAACCTATGTGCAGGGTTTACTGCTTTCTGGGATGTGAATAGGTTGTTCCCTTCAGTATGTTAGATTTTGTTAGTTAGTATGTTGTATCAACGTGACATGCTCCCCTTTATCCATAAGTCAAATTAGTCCCTACTTTATTCCATGTTTAACTAAAATACTAAAGTAGATTAAAAAAACAAGAGGAAATAAGGGGACCAACAGGGATTAATTTAAAAACAAAACCTGCAAACAGACAGTACAGTTTTATAAGCAAGATGGTTGGATAATAATTCAAATCTTTAACCTTTAACCTTTTTATTTTCTAAGTAACTATTTTCTTTTTGCAATTACAAACAGGAAGCATGGATGAAAGATGGAAATGGAATATGGAAAACTGCAGTACTTTGTATCATATAAAAAATGGTACACGAGTGAAGGTCAAGCAGAGAGGCCTTTATATGATACAAGTGCAAATAACCTGCGGAGTCGGACTCCCAGAAGAGTCTAAAGATAATGGAAGCAATTACATTGAATTTAAGGTATCACCCAACAGAGATAGAGCTATAGTAAAGAGCCTATATCTTCCACATGTTACAAATGAAACACAACAGTCATCTTACTCATTGGAGACTATTTACCTTTTAAGTAAAGGGGACATTTTGGAGTTGAAACTAAACATTAATCGGCCTCTGATTTTTAATAGGAAAGAAAGCACTTTCTGGAGAATTCATAAAATAGACATATAAGCTTGTTATATGTTTGTAAGCTTTGATTGTCAAATGAGAGGCCGGGGAATACAACATATGTGTGTGTATGTATAAATAAATATGTGTATATTTATATATATATATATATATATATACATACATACATACAGGTATATTAAATATTCATAAAGAACATAAAGAAAAAAGTAAAAAGATGATTTTTTTTAAATGATCAGTGCATTTAATGCTACCAATGCATTTAATCAAGAAACATTAATTTACAGATTTTTTGATACATATAGAGTAATTTTCAGCTGGTATGCAAAGTGGTGGTGGTGCAAATAATTGCTATATACGAAGATTGGGAGAGGGTTGTTTCTTCATTCAGCTGTTTAGTAGTCAATACATTGTTAGATATAGAAACAGATACTGCATATACAAACCGCAAAAGAGGTAGAGGTTGATAGATTTAATAGATTTATAGGTAGATAGATAGATACATAGATAGATACATACATAGATAGATATAGCTAGATTCTTTGCCCATAACTCTAAAAAAAGAGGTGATTAATGGGATAAAATGGTGGCTGGACTAACAAAGGTGATTGATAGCTATGGGACAGCCATTAATGTTTTTATCCACAGATCAAATGGGAAGTGGACAATAGAGGCAAAACAAAGGAGAAGCAGTAAAGATATATATTTATATACTATATGTTTACTAGCCCTCTTCTTGTTCCCCCTATTGGCTACTTTTTCTCGCTTGTTCTGTGAACCAAGTGGCAGGAAAATGTAATAGTATGTATATATTTTGCAGTACACTTTTTTTTGCAGATTTTTGCACCCTTTTGGTTTGTGTGATTCATCTTCCCAAATCTTCTTTTGGGGAAAAAATTCTGATGAGCCGAACCAACATATGCACAAATTTTTGCCATTCTGATTTTTTTTACAATTTTCTAATAAGGTTGTGCGAAAAACAACACATCTCCTCCCTACACACTTCCTATAAAGAGAGATCTAATTTTTAAATTTATTTTATTAAACAGTGTGTTTCATTTAGAATTTCCATTAGCTGCCTGCTAGAGCCTGTAGGAACTTTGTGTGTGTGACTAATGTTCCATTTACAGAGCAGGAGTTAAGAACTGCTAAAGTAAACACATTGGGATGTAATATCTGCTTGAAAATTAAACCATTTTTTGTCATGGATTCTGTGTGAGTCACAGCAAGTCGATGTCCAGCTAGGGCTGCCTAAACAAAGTGATTTTACTCCTAATGGGCAGAGAATTAAGAATTAATTAAAACTGTTTCATAAAGCTAAAGTTGTTATGGTGCTTAGACTATCCCTTTAACGCTATGTATAATAATGAGCTATATCTTCAGTGTTGTCCTTGGAAACTCGATGAGTCCATTGCCCTTGAAGATTGGGGTTTTTTCTCCAAAAATGTTTATGTATAAGTTAAAGATAGCATTGGGCAAACTTTTTTTCCAGGTACAGTTCACATGAGTAAGAATGTTCTCTTCTTGTAAAGTAAAATGTCCGTATGTTTATAAACACTGTTAAAATAAATTTGGATGATGCTAAACTCATTCATATAAATGAGCCAGCTAGTTTTGTATCTTTTTTTTTTTTTAACTACAGGCATAAATGAGTTCTATTTAAATAACTTATTTGTTTGACTGTATTGTTTTGCTTACTTTAATAAAATACTGTTAATTGTCCCCAATTGTTTTACCATCTTAATTCATTACTCTACAATTTTGCCATCTTGGAATTTTATTTGTGTGTTTGTTTGTTTGTTTCCTAATAGTTATTTATTTTTACTAAAAAAAATTACTAACAATTTTCACCAAAAAATTGCAGTGACTCTCAACAAAATTGCAAATTAGGTATGTTTTCACTTTACCTATCATGGCCTAAAATTGTAATTCAATTTGAATTAACTTTATGTTTAGAAAAACACTCTGTGTTAGTGGACATATTCATGTCAAGTGCATGAAGACACAAAATTCTAAGGCGCCCCCCAAAAAGGAGATGAAGTTTTATTATTATATTAACTAATCATTACAGGCCAAACACATCTAAGCATTCATATTTGACAAATGCATTTGTATAAATGTATGTATGTGCATGTTTCTGCTTTCCTTGTAATGCTTGTGTTTGAATCTGAGTATAGTGAGTATATGCACCTGTGTAAATGCATGTAGAATCAAAGATAATGTTAAAAGTGGTTAGGGTAAAGAGGGGTTAAGGTTAGAGGTTGGTTAATGTTAGAGTACATAGGGTTTAGTGTGAAGACTATTCACTGTTTTAGAAACATTACAGTTGTAGTATAGGGCCTATAAAGGATTAATGACTTCAGTGCTAGAGTTGGGCTAAATTTAGTATTCGAGCATATGAGGTGTTACATTTTTAAACATAGGATTAAGGTAAAAGGTATATTTTCAGGTTTAGGCTTCTAGTGCTGGAGTTTGAAGGGTTATTTGCAAAGTACTCACCCTCCTTTGTCATCTGTAGAACAGTCAGTCTCCTATGATTACAGGAACACTATAGGGTCAGTAACACAAACATGCAATCCTGACCCAATAGTGTTATGAAAGTGTTAGAAAAGGTTAAAACGTATCTTATTTCCAGCCCTCCAAGGGTCGGCAGGCGCTGGCCCCACCCCTGATCTGCCTCTTTGGTTGACATCATCAGAACTAATTATCTCAGCTAATCCAATACTTTCCCACAAGGAAAGCATTGGATTGGCTGAGATTGCCAAGGAGGCAAGGTGGGGGCGGGGCCAAACACAGCCCTGGCCAATTAGCATCTCCTCATAGAGATGCGTTGAATCAATGCATCTCAATGAGGAAAGTTAAGTGTCTCCATGCAGAGCATGGAGATGCTCGACGCCAGTGCTGCACACTGTGCAGCAATGCCCCAGGAAGCACCACCAGTGGCCACTGGAGATGTCCCTAGGCTTTAATGTAAACATTACCCTTTCTATGAAAAGACAGTGTTTACTGCAAAAAGCCTGCAGAGATTGACTATACTCACCAGAACAACAATATTAAGCTTCCTGTTCGGCCCTTCACACAGCTACTGCAGGAACTGGGGCAGCACTGGATTTTACACACTTTATAACTGTTTCTACAGCTCTGCTATTAAAGCGACAATATAGGCACCCAGACCACTTCACCTCATTGAAGTGGTTTGGGTGCAGTGTCCCTGTTCCCCTTAGTCCAGCAAAGTTAAACATTGCAGTTTACATTGCAGTACTAGTGGCTCTGTACCAAATTTTATTTCCATACTCCTAGTCCTGATATTTTGAGATATACTTCAGTTTCATACACCATGGCAATTTAATTGTGTTAATGTTATGTTTCCCAGAGCAGTCTTTTAAACATTGACACTTGTGAATAGATTTGTCCTCTCCGTGGTAAAAATAAATGAATGAATTGTTCCAACCAGGCCCGGACTGGCCATCGGGCAAACCGGGCAAATGCCCAGTGGACAGTGATGGCCACAGGCCTAGGCCGGGGAGATCCAGCTGGTCCATGCAGAGCCGGCGCTATCCAAGCGCTGGCCCCTCCTTGTTCCATGAAGGGCCGGTGGGGAGATCAAAGATCTCCCTCACGGGCCCATATGCTGTCAAATGCGGCCGCCGGCGGGGAAAGAGGGAGGGAGACAGCCAGCCAGGAGAGGAGGACCCGGCAGAGCTCTAACTTGCAGCCATGGCAACCGTCCGGGTCTCGCGAGAGTGAACTCTAGCCACAGGCTAGAGTTCACTTACCACAAGGACCACCTAGGATGGATGTCAGCAGCACGACCCCCCTCCCCCCCTCCCTTCCCCTTCCAGGCTACAGGTAAGAAGGGAAAGGGGGGGGGGGATATAATGTATTTATTTTTATATTTAAAAAAAAGACATCAATATTGGCATTTACCTGCCTCCCCCAATACACAATCCTTGCAGACACACAGCATCGTCACTCACACAGCACCCTAACACTCACACAGCACCCTAACACACACAGCACCCTAACACACACACACAGCACCCTAACACTCACACAGCACCTTCACACATACAGCACCCTAACACTCACCCTAACACTCACACAGCACCCTAACACTCACACAGCACCTTCACACATACAGCACCCTAACACTCACCCTTACACTCACACAGCACCCTTACACTCACACAGCACCTTAACACTCACACAGCACCTTAACACTCACACAGCACCCTAACTCACACAGCACCCTAACTCACACAGCAGCCCCCAAACACGCTGCACCACTCACACACACACTCACTAGATCTCCTATACGCACTCCTGCATCCTTCAAACACACACTAGATCCTCTACACACAGACGCTGCACTACCTACACACACACTACATTTCAGACATACACACTCTGGATCCCCTATGCACACACTAGATTCCATTTAAGCAAACACATAGTGTCTCCATAAATGGGATACAGTGAGTATCCCAATTATGGAAACCCCTGAGACAAGTTTCAAGCAAATACAACGCAAGCATGTTATTAAATTTGCTTGCGCTGTGCAGAACAAATACAGGGCCCTTTTCTCATGCCCTGGAAGAGCATTGAACCAACATGCTCACTTTGAGATGGGGCGTGCTTGTCATTAGGGATGACAAAACACACTCTATCTAGCCTCGCCCCCTTTTCAGTGGGCCCCTGTGAATAAAAAATGCCCGGGCAGAATTTTTTTCCCCAGTCCGGCAACTTGTGGTTAGTAAGTCTGCCCAGTGGCATTGCACCAAAGTTTCATAGTGAATAATGTGGCTGAAGAAACTAAGATGTGATTTAAAGGACCACTCTAGGCACCCAGACCACTTCAGCTTAATGAAGTGGTCTGGGTGCCAGGTCCCTCTAGGATTAACCCATTTTTTTTATAAACATAGCAGTTTCAGAGAAACTGCTATGTTTATAAATGGGTTAATCCATCCTCCAAATCCTCTAGCGGCTGTCTCATTGAAAATCACAGTGCGAACACGCAAGCATCCATAGGAAAGCATTATGAATGCTTTCCTATGAGACCGACTGAATGCGCGCGCAGCTCTTGCCGCGCACGCGCATTCAGCCAAATGGGAGGATCGGAGGCGGAGAGGAGGAGGAGAGCTCCCCGCCCGGCGCTGGAAAAAAGGTAAGTTTTACCCCTTTCCTCTCCCCAGAGCTGGGCGGGAGGGGGACCCTGAGGGTGGGGGCACCCTCAGAGCACTATAGTGCCAGGAAAACATACTCGTTTTTTCTATAGTGGTCCTTTAATTATTATTTTATGTGGAGCTATGTTAGAGCAGTAGCTGAGTGTGAATTACTTGGGTTGGTTACAAGTCACTGAGAGAAGGGTGTGTCCTAGAGGGTTGCTCTCATTCATTATACACAAAAAAACAAACAAACTACTCCCCATAATGACACAAAAACAAATAGTTAAAATATAGAAATACTTAAATAAATTACATTTGGAATCAGAAAATCTAATTTCCTGATCTAAAAGACATGCTCAATAGTTTGGAATTTCAACTGGTAGAGATTGCATTTATGTTCTTCGTAGTGAGTTCTGAGTGTGTGAAAAATATCTGTGGCAAAGTATGTGGAAACAAAGAGAAAGATTCCAATGCTAGTATGTAATGAAGTATCTGGATAAGGTAAACATGTACCCTACTTACACAGAACAAAGCAAGGACCTGCTTGGTGATATCGTGCTTTGATTGTATAATCCACACCAATAATATGAGGAACCAGGAAGCATTCAAAATAAAATATATTCTCCAAATATATGCTAAGGAGTTAAAATTGTATTTATATAAAAGAAAAGAATAACACAAACAAAGCAAAAAAAATTATATATATTTTTTATAGTAAGTTATATGATATGATGAAAATAATAGTAACTTTAGAAAGAAAAACGGTATATAATATGTGTGGGTTTAGTAAATGAGTAAGAGGAAAATTACAGCTAAACACAAACACCGCAGAAATGTAAAAACAGCCCTTGTCCTTAACGGTATGAAAATTTAAAAATGGTCTGGTCACTAAAAACTTCTTGGAAGTACAGTGAGGATTAAGGAACTTGGAAGATGATAACACGTTATCCCTCCTGGAGCGACCACTTTCGGGTTGCAGCATTTGGCACCCGGCAGTGTAGTGCAGAGCATCGGAAGCCTTCCCTCCCTTTACCTCCCCATGTACGTACCAATCGCCGCCATTCTCCAGCCAGCGATCAGTCTTCTTCTGCAATTTAGGACCCCAGGGGCCATGTGATCACTCACTGCTCAACAATAGGTGTCCACAGTGCTGCTGGTGAAAAAGTAAAAAAAAAGTTTTAAATTTTTTTTTAAATAAATAAATACATTAACAAAAAAATATATATATATGTATATATGAGTGAAGCGGAGAGGTAGTATAATCCACAGTATCTCCGCTGGGTAACAGGAACAGCATAAAATAATCCAGGTAAATGCATACAGCATACAATAATTCCAGTAGCGTTGTAAGAATCCTTCCCTCCCAAGAAGTAGTCGACACATAGGCTGGGAGTCAACTGAGGTTTTATTCACAGGTCACTGTATTTATGCAAGTCCCCATGCAAGGGGTTTCCCTACTGACATTGCAGGGGTTATACAGTAGGGGACTACATGGGGGACTTAACAACCTGGACATTTTTCCCATCTTGCACTGCTGGACGAGAGGGATACTCC